GGGCGGCAGTAAATCGAGTAAAAAAAATGGATTGCCAAAAATTAGGTAGAATCATATATATTTTGGATTTGGGTCAAAAAAATGAAGTAAAAAATTATAATTTGCAGCGAATGTGCAGTACATTAAGGTAATGGACAAAAATTTTATGTCCGTATTTGGTATCATTTAGGTAATACTTGACAATTCTTATGGATATTTTCATTAAATACAAGAAGGATGCTTATTTCATTGCCCTAAAACAAAATCTACGATGATTTTATTGGGAGTGTATAATAAAGTACAACAATTAACCCATAACAAGTATTATAACCCAAGGTATAGTATTATGGGAAAATTGTAAAAATCCCCTCAAAATGACTTTTTACACACTTTATCCATCCAACTTTTCCTAGCAAATGCCCAATACAAAAGTTCATTTTTTTGGATGAAAATACCATTCCCTCATATAACAAATTATTTTCGTTAGAGAGGGCGGTTTGGCATTTTGAACAAACGGTCCGGCGACTAGTTTTGTTGGAATGTCTAGTCTGGCGTTTCATGGTGGCGCCCTTATATAACAAATTATTTTCATTAGAGAGGGCGGTCTGGCATTTTGAACAAGTGGTTCGGCGATTATTTTTGCTGGAATGGCCGGTTCGGCGTTTCATGGTGTCGGTCCGACGATTATTTTTTGGTGGAATAGACGGTCCGATGTTTTGATGTTGCGGTCTGTCATTTTGAAGGGGCAGTTCGGCATTGTACAAGTGCGGTTCGGCATTTCCTTTTATTGGGATCCATAAATAATTTGTTACATGAGTGAAGGGTATTTTCGTAAAAAAAATTAACTTTTTGTATAGGAGTATTTGCTAAGAAACATGAATTTTTTACGGGAAGTTGCTAAAAAGTCCATTTTGGGGGGCTTTTGCAATTTTTTCTAGTATTATTGATAGATATAAAAAAAAAAAACCATCAATATAGGATTGCAGTTAACAAAAACACAAAAGGGAAAATTTTCTATATTTCCTCTACAACATAGAAGATATATTACTCCCCCCATCCAGCCGTTCAATTTCGATCAAGTGAGCCACTAACCATTTGATCTAGATCCAACGTCTCAGACTATTTCATTTTTAGTTTTTGTTCTACAAATGGTATGAATATGACAGTTGGTACGTGTCATCTTCTCAATGGGACACACCTAAAACAATTATTAAAAAGAATTTTTCAACAAAATATTTTTTACAAGTGGGAGTTTAAGAGAGGAGTGGACACCCAAAGTTTGATGTAAAAATATTTTATAGGAAAAATTAAAAATAAATAGCGTAGAGATTTAACATTGTGATTGAGGCCATCTCAACAGTCCGTTAAAAATGGACTATTGGAGAGGGGGAAGTATATAAGCTTTACACACTAAAAAAAGCATAAAAAGCTTGCCCAACACAAAAACCCAAACACACAAATTATTTGTCCATCCAAATTATTTAGTTGTGTACACCAATAAAATATCAAAAACTCATAAAAAGTAATATTAATAAAACTTCTCATAAGGCCAAAAAAAAGTTTACTTGTGCCGGAGCAAACCCAAGCAAAAGTAGAACTCCAAGACCTTAAGCTAATTAAGGTTCGGAATAATAATAATTTTTCCTTGTATTTGAAGTCTCCTCCCTCCATGCAAGAGGTTTCTAGTACTTAAGGTGTCGCTTTCCCTCCAAGAAGGGTTACAACAACCACTCAAACCCTTGAGCTAAAGTAAACAACCACTCAGCCCATGATATGGGTTTGGAGTACTACTTTTTCTCTAGTGATTTGTGCCCAACCCCTCATGACTCACGTTTGTTAGGTATATAAGTACTACCTTGTGCGTATGTACCTATTTGAATGAGGCGTCTTTCTCCCTTACCTGCTTTGCCCTCCTACCCATATGGGGGATTACACACACTCAAGAGGTTTTCAACTCTCTCTCTCTAATGTTGAAGCCCCATCCCTCCAAGCAGGGGATTACACACCTCTTCACTATTGAAGGTCTTTTTCTCCCTCCAGGTAAGAGTTTAAAATAGCGTTCAAGGCTTTGTCGATGAAGTTATAAGTTCTCATATATTTTTTCACTATTTTCAACAATGTCGTTTTGAACCTATTACTTGCTTCTTCTTCTTTTTTTTTTTATGTATACAGTACCTATGTCTTTTAAATAGCATTCAAGACAAAGATTGCAAACATGCCGGGCTTGGGTTGTGATAGGGTCTACATAAAACCTGAACTTGAGTTAGTTTGCTGTCAAAGTAAACCCGGCGCCCTTGATAAAATTTACATAGACATACACTTATACCTTCAAGACCCATCACTCTTTCTCTCCATGTATATATAGGGATCAACAATGATCTCTCTTCTCAACCCATCAAATATGTTTTATGTCGATTTAATTTCGTGACTTCTAGAAAGCTTGACAACTACTCCAAATTTGAAAGCTAGGGCTCACAAAGAATCAAAAGGTTTAAAAGTTAGGATTGACTTTAAGATTAGCCGTTCACACGTCTTTCTAGATGATTTTGATTAGATATATAAACACGCACGTCTTTCTAGGTCATTTTTATTCGATATAATAGAATTCAAATGCTATGACCATTTAATATGCACAAACACATGCATACAAAAACACCATGAAACCATAGTGTTCATGAATCCCATTTATTTGTTCTTTCGTGGAATACACGCTCAAAACACTCAAAAACATGTACAATAAATAAAATATAAAGGGCTCCAATTTAAAATCCCAAAACCAATATCAAATCCACTTGTGAACAAACAAATGTATACATATAAAATAAACAAACCAAATAGTCAAACCAAATCCATATAATAGACCTACATAAACGGCACAAAACATACAAGAATCTTACCCAATATTTACACAAAATACAACTAAATTTGGTGGGAATCTAACCACTGAACAAGGGGAATTGGAATCTAACCACTGAACAAGGGGAATCATTGGTTGTTTACATGCTTTTGCTTTATCATCTCAAATTCTGCGTCGTGTCTCGGCCGTTCGCCATAGAAGATGACCGTCTCCGTGCGGGACCCACAACTTTTTTTTAATAAAAATGACAAAAATACCCTTTTCTAGTACTTAGACGTTAGGCGCGTGTTCAATGGCTAAATGCCCATTGCTTCTTGCGAACTAGGGTAAGGGCTATGATGAATGACGAAACTGCCCCCACCCATGTTTCATAAGGCCAAAAATTAATGGACATTCCACACTTGCTTGTCCAATCATTACTAGTGTCCCAGAACTCGGATCAGCGTTTAGGGGGTTCTAAATTCGCAATTTAGAAAACATGGAAAAATAGAAAAAAAAATTATCAAATTATCCACAAGATAAATAATTTAATATTTTAATTCATATATTTTCATTTAATTTTTAAATATCCATAATAAATACACGATATCTTTTCATTAAATTTAAAAATATCCATAATAAATACATGATATCTTTTCACTTAATTTTAAAATATCCATAATAAATACATGGACTTGAGTTGGAATAAATACAATTTGGCATAATATTGATTACCGCATCTCTTACGGTTGTTTTGGCAAATTTCTCTAAAGAATAAAAAAAATCAAAGTGGGAGTTTATAGAGTAGTGGGGAATTTATGGGGGACCTAATAAACTATGGGTGCGATTTGTATAGAGCTGAGGCTCTAAACAATCAAAGTAAAGTACATCTTCAAATAGTATCGAGAAATGTGGTTTCAATACCTGTAATCTTTGTCATAACATTAAAAAATATTTTTATTTTTAATTATAAAATTTAAAGCTTAAAAAATAGTATTGATCGAGAAAATCTATGAAAACTTGAAAATCTTGAAAATTGACGGTCAAAAAATGTGTTACAAGATGCACTATTTCCAAAACGTAAAAATCTATTTTTTTTTCATGCCCATGCATCCTGATGTGGAGATAATCAATTTGATGATATGTCTTCTAGTGAAATTTTTGATATGGTTCTAATTTGATTGTTTATAGTCTCGGCTCTATATAAATTTTTTCATAAAATATTCAATAAACTTTCAAAAAAAATTTATGAATAGGGGATTTTAGTAGGGAGCCAATAAATTCCCAAAACCAGATTGGTTCTAGCCAATTCCTAGTCCAGATAAACAATTCCCCAATCCAAATTGTTATCTAACACAAAAGATAAGAGTAAAGTTGTAAATCTTTAGGAGAGAGGGGATTTTAGGGGGGCTGAAGAGGGTGGGTATCTTGGAAATTTCAAGGATGGGCATTGTGATAAATTTGTCAAAGAGAAACAGCTTTCAAAACGGCGTTTGAGATTGGGATAGAAAAAGAATGCAAAACGGTTGGATACTTGGAAGCGATAGAAACAAAGGGACAGGTCAGACCGAGTCAATTTTGAATGAAAGAGAGAGAGAGAGGGAGGAGAGAGAATGCCAACTCCCAACTTCCCCCTTTGCTTCAAATACGCAAAAGAGCCTCTCTGTCACCACCCTGGTTTCCCCCTCCCTCTCTCTCTCTCTCTCTCTCTCTCTC